GTACTTTCTACAGAACAGTTGCAGTCGTGACTTTGTGGTGTTTCAGCTTTGCCTGTAACCGTGGCAAAGGAAAATGGCTCTACTGTGCTACAACTGGGGCTTCGATCCCAAGACCAATTCCAATGATGCTTGTATATACCATCCAGGTGTTCTTGTCTTTCATGAAGCATTAAAGGGCTGGTCTTGCTGTAAAAGAAGAACAACTGATTTTTCTGACTTCTTAAGTATTGCAGGCTGTACGAAAGGTAAACATAATAGTGAGAAACCACCTGAGCCAGTCAAGCCAGAAGTTAAGACTACTGAGAAGAAAGAACTCTCTGAATTGAAACCTAGATTTCAGGAACATATCATCCAAGCAACAAAACCAGTAGAACAAGCTGGAAAATAGCTCATGAACATAATTGTAGGACTTCTCAGTACAATACTGTGCTAGGCAGAAAAATAATTTAAGACTTTTTAAAGAACTCTTGTCCCATAATTAGTAAATTATAAAATATCAAATTTTGGGCTGGGGGTTTAGCTCAGTGGTTCTGCTGCCTGCCTCACAAGTGCAAGGTCGTGAGTTCAGTCCCTGGTACCTCCCCAATGTCAAAACTTTTTTTTTTTTGTCCTGGGGATTGAACTCCTGTCCTTGTGCGTGCGAGACAGGCAGCGGAACCACTGAGCTAAATCCCCGGCCCCCAGTGTCAAATTTTAATCAGGTACTACATGGATTTTTGTTGTAACAATACTTGAGAGTCTTCATGGAAGGTCTTCATTGTCTTTCCAATATGGATTGATTTTCTAGGAGGATTAATTCTGAAATAATGCAGTAGATAAAAGGAAATATGTGTTGACTAATTAACAATTTAATTAGAAAATTAAATCATTGGGCCAGGGATTTAGCTCAGTGGTTCCACCACCTGCCTTGCCAAGGCAAGGACCCAAGTTCGATCCCCAGTACCACACACACACATACACACACAATTAATACATAAAATAAAAATAAATAAAAATTAAATCAATACCTATACTACTTACCAAGCATGTGATTTTAAAATATAAGAAATAAAATTACAGAAGTATTAATCTGGCTAAAATTCACAATTTTATAGAACTAAGTAATAATATTAAAAGTCTCTTTGCTGATTATTTTTATGTTATGACTGAATTATGCTTGTTTACAGTCTAAGACCTTCTAATCTTTTAGTTACCTATAAAAAAGAAATACATATCCAGTTTCCATGATAGATGAAAAACTGTAAAAGTATAAAGATTTGTGGAAATATACTGGAGTATGGGAAAGGTAAATACATAAATTTTGCTTTATGACAACTATTACATGTTAAATAAAATAGCTTTATTCTTTCAGACCAAAAATAAATAAATAAATAAATAGGGCCACGGATATAGCTCAGTGGGAAAGCCTTGGGTTCACTTTTTACTCTTGCAAAACAATAAAAATAAATAAAACAATAAAAAGAGAGTGGGTTCAGGTGGCCTTGGATCTCTTTATTATAAAGATTCTCACTAACATCACCCAATGATTTGAATATTCCTAGAGATCAAGATCTAGATTGATTATATTTCATGAGGGATCAAAATGGATGATTATTCTAATTCTCATACCCAATGTCAATTCTGCCCTAATTTCAGTAGCTGGAATTCTTTTACAATAAGTTTCATTAATGAGCTGCTTACCTTGACACAGAAAGAATAAACCACTGAGTCAGATCAAATTTGTGTCATCAGCTTTCTGTTATTATAAAAATCACCAGAGTCAGTGAACTTATAAAGACAAAAGGTTCATTTTGGCTCACAGTTTTGGTGATTTCAGTCTATGGTTGATTGGCCCTATTGTTATTGTGACTGTGGCAAGGAGACACATCACAGTGGGGAACATATTTTGGAGCAAAACTGCTGAACTCATGGCTGGGGCATAAAAAGGGAAGAGACTAGACCCCCACAGTCCCCTTCAAAGTCACTTTCAGTGAACTAAAGATCCCCCACTGGGCCTCTTATAGTCCCAATAGCACCACTGACTGAGGACCAAGCCTTTAAAACACGAACTCTCAGGGGACATATCAGATCCAAACTATGGCAAACATGAATTTCAGAGTTAATAGTGAGTGAAAGAAGCTAGACATAAAAAAATATGCATTGTATGATTGCCTCTATATTAAGTTCAAGGCCAGAGGAAAAAATTAACATATGGTGAAAGAAATCAGAATATTGCTTATCTCTGAGAGGAGGTATTAATACAGAAGAGCCTCTCGGATGCTGGAATTCCGTATCTTGACATGGGCATAAACCTATAAAAATATCCATCAAGCTTTTCAGTTAGGATTAGTGCATTTTGTTGTCTGTTATTTCTCAATCAGGAATGCCAAATTAAGCAAACAAAGATACAGGTTACTGAGGTAAATTTAAATTTCACATAAACAAATAATTTTTTTAGTAGAAATGTGTTTGAAATTCTCCAGATTAGATCAGAAGCAGGGCTAGGATTGCTGGGGTGGTGAAAGTCTGAAAAGAGACACAGGATAATAGAGAAATAGCAAGGGACTAGGAAGGGCATCCAGTGATGAAGTCTATGCACGGTTTTGTGTCTGACTGGTGGGCTGAAGTTGCTGGTGTTCAGCAAGTTTGGAAGCTAGGAATAAAAGATCCATGTTAATCAGGGAATGGTGAGGACAAACTAGAACCCATGAAGATTTGGAAAACCACACCTGTTTCTCAAAGCCTCTAATGTTGATGCCCTGGGTAGCCTGCAGAAGAAGCTGGTGCCCTTTGCCACAAGGCTACATATGTTTTTGGTGCAGGACTCTGGGGAACTGAAGATCCAGAGAGTAGCAGCCAGTAGACAGGGACAATGTAAGTGAGCTGCAGCACTTGGAGCCCTTACTAAACTGCAAGCCCCATCTGCCATTGTTTTACTTTTATGTTTCATATTTCATGCTCATATTCTTCTTGGCCAATCTTAACCTAGGAGGTAAGGAAAGAGAATTGCAGATACTGTTCCAGTTTAGCTTGTTTAGCAAAGTACAAAACTTATTTGGTTCATCCTACTTCTTTTAACCATATTTATCTTCCACATAAAGGCAACAGCATAATTATCCTTCTAGGTAAAGTGGAAACTTTCCCTCATACAATAAAAGCATACTAGTCTTTCAAAAGAAGGATACTGAGTTCCATCTTTTGGTTTACTTTTCACTTTGATACCCTGTAAATCTTTGAGCTATAGTTTCTGATTAAGTTTTATAATGGTACATGAGAGAACTAAGCTGTACCCCAAGATGATGACTGCCTTCCAGACATATTCCTCCTCAGTCCCATTGTGCACTAACAACCAAGTTTCTCTTTGATGGTCAAGATCGATCACCCTAGCCGGTGTAGAAATCCCCAAGGAGCCCACAGTGGCCAGACAACGGTGTCAGTTTCCAGTAGGAAGCTAAGAAAATTTATTAGGGAAAACTAGGAGTGGAAATAGGAGTGGCTTTTCCCAAAATCACTATTCCTATTTTCATTTCTTGATTTTTCACGAATCTTTTTTATATATTGGTAATTGATTTGCAGCACATGCTGCATCATGAAGGGCATTACCCCATCCAGCAGGATGCTGCCATCTAGCAGGGCATGTAGCTGACTCTTCACAAGGCCATTCCACCATGCTATGAGGCCAGATACTTCAGGGTGATAATGAACAGAGAACTGTGGGCATGAACCTGTTACTACACTTCATCTATTGCAAAGAAAGTTCCTTGGACAGAAGCAATGTATAGTGAAAATGTCTGCTAAGTCCATGGAGGATGGTTTTTGGAGGAACATTGTTGGGCACAGAAGACAAATCTATAAAGAAAGGAAGTGTCTGTTACAGTCAAAATAAAATGTAGCCCTTCCAATATGGAAGTGACTCATTGAAAAAGAAAATCTAACACTATATGACTGGTTGACCCCCTGAGGAATGGGGCCACGTTGGAAGCTCATTGTTGATCTTTGCTGTAGGCAGGTTAGGATGTGGAAGTCTGCATTGCTAAGCCCTTGCACATCTCCCATTTTTTCCACGTTGACCATCTTTTTCTAAGAGTATTCGGGACAAGGATGGGGCCATGGGAGAAAGAAGCTGATTGAATTTGGCAGGTCATCTTGTTCATATAATTAAGATTCTTCTCTGCTGAGGTTTCTCATTGCTGAACAGTCACATGAAATAAAAATACCTTCATACCTGCACCTACTCAGTGACCTGTCCACAGACCTATTCCTCAGACTTCTTTTCCACCAGTTTTAAAAATCTTTATTAAGTTTATTGGCACATTTTAGGTATACAATACAGTTACATTCATCATTGGGACCTTGTGCCTTTACATCACTTAACTTAGTTCTTATTTATCCCTATTCCCCAGCCCTCCCTTCATCCACCAGGGTGGGTGATTTAACTCAGTGGTTCCACAACCTGCCTTCCACCAGTTTTATAATCGCACTTCTTCCAAGTTTCTATTAGCCAGTTACCATGTTCAAATCACTGTAGTTCAGTTGCCTTAGTTATCTCTTTTTCTAGACAGAATGCATAACCAGGTATACTGCTCATAGTTTTTTGTTTGTTTTGTCTAATGAGAGGATGTCCTTTCTCATTATCGTTCAGGGCCATAGATGGATGTATTAGTGTTATGCATAGTTAACTAAACATTCTGAGATTTAGCAGTTTAAAGTAAAAGGGACCATTTTGTTCACAAATATGACCTTGGGGCAAAGCTTAGCAAGGATGGCACATTTCTATGCTATGTGAGGTTTGCTGGGAAACTGGACTGGGGTCTAAAGGAGAGACCTTCAATTTGACTTATTTAGGTGGCTGGCACTTTCATGCTGGCATTTGGCTGAGGGTTAACCAAGACTGTGGACCAGTTTCCTCACCAGGTAGGCCTTGCCACAGACTGTTTGAGTGTTCTCATTTCATGTGGATGGGGTTCCCAAAGTGAGCATCCAAGAAACTTGGGAGTCACATAATATCATTTCTACCCCATTTTATTGGTCAGCATACAGATTCAAGGGAAAGGGATATAAACTTCACTTCTGGATGACAGAGTGTTCAGGTTCCAGAAAAGCACACAGGACAAGAAATATCACCATTGTTTTTTTTGAAATATAATATTCCATAGTGCAGATTGGGAGAAAGAATGAAGTAGCAGAGGCCATATACATCTGGGCTCTCGCTCGTGAAAGGTGCTTGTGTCTTCTGGATCCTGGTCTCATATATGCCTGTTTCCATCTGAAAAGAAAATGCTGTTATGCATGCCTAAATTTATGACTGGGTGAATCAGGCAGCACTCAGTTCATGGTGGGCATCTCAGGTTACAACCTAGCTTAGTGGCCTTTAGTCAAGTGTTCAATCCCCACTACATTCAGTAGCAAGCCCTAAACTGTTTCTCAAAATAGTTATCAGAAGAGGACGACAACACTTTTCTCCAAAATCCTAAATTTTGGGGGAAAGTGAGTCTCACATAAATTCAGAGCAAGAATCATTTATTTGGTTCAGCTGCTTCACAATGCCACAAAGAACAAAGCTCTTTTTCTTTTTACACTCTCATTTTTAGCAAATAAATTTTCATCTTTATGTATTTATTTCATAGACATAGAATGACTAGATCAGCTGCAGATTTTTTTTTTTCTGAGCAGGAAAAAAGGAGGTATAGTGAAGGGCTTTTTACCTTCTCCTTCCATCAGACTTGCATTTATTGATCTTACCCAGAATGTACTGCATAGTCACCCTAACCATGAGGCAGGTGAGATTTGGAGTATTTCAATTTCCACCCTCTAGAGAAGAAAATCAAGAAGAGAAATGCGTATTGAGTGAATAAACTTAAGAGTATCTGATATGGGTGCTTTGAATGTTTTTGGCACTCAATAGAGATAACAGAACCAATATACAAAGAATTATTTGTATATAGTGGCCCATGAGAAGTGGCTTTTACAATAATAACAATATAATACGTAGGTGTTTTTGGGAAATTTTAGAGAAAACTACAACTTAAATCTTTTTTTTTTTTTTCAGTACTGGGGATTGAACTCAGGACCTTAAAGCAAGGCAGGTGTGGTGCCACTGAGCTAAATCCCCAGCCCACTTAAATTTTATATTAAAAAGCAATGGTCTTGCCAAGGATGGTGGAACATGTCTGCAATCCCAGAACTTGGGAGTCTGATACAGGTGGCTCATCACAAGTTCAAGGCCAAACTGGGCTACATAGACTGTACACTGGGCTACATAGTGAATTCAAGGCTAGCCTGAACTACAGAGCAAAACTTTGTCTCAAAAAGCAAAACTAAACTAAACTAGTAAATAAATCAAAACTGATAGGCTTGCTTCACAAAGAAAACCAACCCTTGGCCTTCATCATTTTTGAGACATCATTTTGCTAGATTGCCCATTTATTATATATTATTATATTTGGCTTTAAACTCAGGATGCCCCTGCCTCAGTTTACCATGTACTGGTAGGTATTGTGGTACGCACCTACAGTCCCAGCTGCTTTGGGGACTGAGCCAAGAGGATCCCTTGAATCCAGTTCAAGGCCAGCCCAGACAACATAGTGAGACCATATATCAAGGGAAGGAAAGCAATGGTCTTCAATTTCTGGGTTTTTTTTGGTATCAGGACCTTGCACTTGTGAGGTAGGTGGCAGCATCACTGAGCTACAACATCCCCAGCCCTTGAATTTGTGTTTTACCAAGATAGGTTAACAAGGACTGGATTTACATTTTTTGTTTTCCTTTTTGGTACCGGGGATTGAACTCAGGACCACTGAGCTGAATTCTGGCCCCCTACATTTTTTTTTCTGTATCGGTATTGAACTCATTACCTCACACTTGCCAGGCAGGTGCGGTGCCACTGAGCTAAATCCCTGGCCCTCCTACATTTCTGTTTTAATGAACTAAAAATCTGACTAAATTTACCTGTGCTGCTACCTGCCTTGAAAGTGCAAGGTCCTGAGTTCGATCCCCAGTCTAAAAACAACAACAACAAAAAAACAACGCACTAAATTCAGACATCACACACAGTAAGAACAGTCATACTTGAGAGAAAGGAAACAAATGACTTCTCCCCCGAGAGCGAGAAGATCTCCATGCCATAGCAAAGAGAAGGGAAAATAAGTGGATCCAGGTGGCCTCCCTGAGTTACAAAGATGAAGTTGAGAGTCTGGAAGGTCACTGTGTGGCTAGCTGTGGCTCTTTGTCAGAGTGGCAAAATCTCATCCTATCCAAGGCATCAGATAGAATACATAGAAGGGTTTTTGCCTCCTAGTGGAGAAAAATTAGCTTTAGATTATAGGCTGCTAACTACCTGAAAAACCTCAAAGAGGATGGGGGATTTAGCTCAGTGGTTCTGTTGCCTGCCTTTGCAAGGTCCCAAGTTCGATCCCTGGTACCCACCCCCTGCCAAGTGCTAACAAAACCTCAAAGAGAGACTCATAATAAATTAGACTCTTTCCATGTTTCTTAACTCTATCTATATGAGAACAAAATTTATTAGTTTTTTTTTTTTTTTAATTTTTGAGACAGGGTCTCACTATGTAGTGAGACTGACCTGGAACTAACTATGTAGCCCACGCTGATCTTGAACTCACAGCGATCCTACTGCCTCAGCCTCTTGAGTGCTAGGATTACAGGCATACAGCACCATGCCTGGCTAGGGCCTCCCATATATTCTATCACCAAGTCACACTCTCAGCTCCTCTCCACTAAATCTTTGGGAATGACAACTTGATGAAGGGCTGGGGATTTAGCTCAATAGTTCCACCACCTGCCTCACAAGTGCAAGGGACCCCAGTTCAAGTTCAATCCCCGGTACCAAACAAAGACAACTTGATGAAAAGATATTTATACATTTGAAAGAGGAGATGTTAGCCCTTAGGGCTTAGAGTAAGATATCTTGACTACCAAGTTAGGCCACTTATGGGGACCCGACGGGGATGTAGCTCAGTGGTGCCTCGCCTGCCTGGCAAGGGCAAGGTCCTAAATCCAATCCCTGATACCGAAGGGAAAAAAAAAAGTTAGGCCATTCTAATATACAAACTAAGTTCTAAAATCAAATTTAGGATTTTGTATAGAATCATAAAGGAAAACTTGACATTTAAAGAGATATGGAGGGCCAAGGATTTAGCTCAAAAGTGCTGCCACCTGCCTTGCAAGTACAAGGCCCTGAGTTTGATACCCTAAACCAAAAAAAAAAAAGAAACTGGATGTGTTGGCACATGCCTGTCCACAATCCCAGTATTCTGGGAGACAGAGGTAGAAGGATCTCAAGTTTGAGTCCAGTCTGAACAACTTAGTGATTTAGCAAGACCCTGTTTCAAAAGTAAAAATGATTTTTTAAAAAAGGGTTTGGTATAAATCTTGGTGTGGAGGCCCTGGGTTCAATCACTGGTATGGACACACACACACACACACACACACACACACACACACACACTTGCAATCTTACACAATTTAAAGCATATTTAAAAGTAATTTGGCTGGGTGTGCTGGCACACGCCTGTAATCCCAGCACTTGGGAGGCTGAGGCAGGAGGATTGCTATGAGTTCGAGACCAACCTGGGCTACCTAGTGAGTTCCAGGTCAGTCTCCACTACATAGTGAGACCCTGTCTCAAACCCCCCCACAAAAAAGTAATTTGGACTAGGTAGGCACAGTAGCACACTCCTGTAATCCCAACACTCTAGAGGCTGAGATAGGAGCACCATGAGTCTGAGGCCAGCCCGGGATACACAGTGAGTTTCAAGGCCAGCCTGAACCATATAATGACACCCTGTCTTTAAAAAATAAAACAAAACAAAACAAAAACCCAAACACCCCAAAAAATCAGACAAAAGTAACTTGAAAAATTCTTGAATCAGTTTTAGCACATTGAGTTTTTTGTGGCAAAAAGTTTTTATTTTTAGTGTTAAAAATATAGTTTAGTGTAGTGACTGTCTAAACTTAAACTGGCCTGAAAGGGCCTGCCTCTCTTGTTAAGTTTATAAACTTTGCTTCCATTCATTACTAAATCTTTCTATCTGCTGATTTCAGGTAACTAAACTCACGTCCACAGTTTAGAAAAAAATCTGATGCATTCGAGCACAACAATCAGTCAATGAAAATGCACTCAAAGGCTGGCAGCACAGCTCAGTGGTAGAGTCCTTGCCCAGCTGTGTGAGGCCATGGGTTTGATCCCTAGCATTACCAAAACAAAACATAAATTCAGAAATAGCACAAATGATAGCATAAAGATATTACATTCCATACAGTCAAAAAGGTAAAGCATAGGAATAGTAAGGAAAACATGAAAAAGATAAGAATAGAACTTCTAGAGATTAAAAATGATGAGAGTCCAGAATCAGACTAAGAGAAGATTAGATAATGGACAAAAAGAGAAATTTAAAGATACAGCAATAGAACTCATCAAAAATAAGACATTGAGGGCCGGGGATTTAGCTCTGTGGTACTGGCCCTGGCTCACAAGTGCAAGGTCCTGAGTTTGATCCCTGGTATCCCCCCCAAACAAATAAAAAACAAAAATAAGGGCTGGGGATTTAGCTCAGTGGTTCCACTGCCTGCTTTGCAAGCACAAAGATCCAAGTTCGATCCCTGGTATCACCCCGCCACACACACACACAAAAAAAAGACATTGAGGGAAAAAAGACTGAAAAGAAAATGAAGAGAGGACCAGCAAACTATGGGACAACTCAAATAGCCTAATACAGGCATAGCTGAAATCTCTTGGAGCCAGGTGTGATGAGGCATATGTGAAATTCCAGCTACTTAGGAGGCTAAAGCAGGAGGGTAACTTAAGCCCAGGAGTTTAGGGTCAGCCCGTGCAATATAGCTAGCAAAACCAAATACAAAACAAAACAAAAGGAATACTTTAGAAGAAGTGGCAAAGGAGAGAAGTAACAGTGGCTTAAAATATTCCGAAGTTGATACAAACTGTATGTTTGCAATCCAATAAGCTCCGTGAACCCCCAGATAGAAGAAACACAAAGCAGCCAGACTTAGTGGCACACACCTGCAATCCCAACATTCTGGGAGGATGAGGCAGGAGGATCATAAATTCAAGCCCAGCCTGGGCAGCTTAGTGACTTAGGGAGATCTTGTATCAAAATAGAATAGAATAGAATAGAATAGGAGGGCTGAGGATAATCACAAAAAAGATGCTGTCATTAGGAATATGTGAGTTAAGACTACAAGACATCATTACATACTTATGAAAATCTCTCAACTTGAGAAAATATCGGCCAGGATGTGTAGGAACTACACATACACTGCGGTGGCAATGTTAAGGGGTGTAACTTTGGAAAATAGTTCAGCAGTGTCTTAAATGTGGATTTCCCAGGTGACTTTTCACTCCTGCATACTTATCCACGAGAAATCAAACGTGTCTACATTTGAACACTTACAAATGTGCACACCAGCATTTGAGGGGAAATGCTTATTTTTAATTGTGTATTTATGATGTAAGTATACCATAATGTTTTGAAATAGGTGTACAGTGGAAAAGCTATTAACCACTAGCGTTAGCATATCCTCATGTATCTCCTTGTGATGATGTAATATAATATAAAATACAGCTGCACAGTTGTTTCTTGGTATCCACAAAAGATTAGTTCCAGGACCATCCCCACCCCAAGATACCAAAATCTGTACATGGTAGGGTATATATGAGACAAGATTGCCTACATCCACAGCATGGTAACTGAAGATCAATATTTAACACAGAATTCTGTTTTTCTTCACGTTTAGACATTTCCTCATAAAATGTGTTCACAGCCTTCTTTTGAAAATAAAGAAAAATTTAGCCGGGCGTGGTGGTGCACACCTGTAATCCCAGCACTCAGGAGGCTGAGACAGGAGGATCACTGTGAGTTCGAGACCAGCCTGGGCTACATAGTAAGTTCCAGGTCAGTCTCAACTACATAGTGAAACCCTGTATCAAAAAAACCAAAAACCAAAAACCAAAACAAAACAAAAAAAGAAAAATTTAAAACCTGGAACTAAAACATACTTTACATATTTATCTAATGGAACACTATGGGACTCCTAAAAAGAACACAGTGGCCCTATTATGTGTTATGCCATGGAAAAATAAGCTAGATTAAGAAGTTGGAAAATAGTATATACACGTACAGTGTGATGGAAAAATATGGCAAATGTTTACATTTTGAAAAATCACAGTAAAGACAGATCATCACCAATATCCCTGAAAATACTCCCCCTTCCTTCAAATACACTCATCCTATAGGTTCTTGCTGTGTTGTCTTTTTGTGTGTCTCTAATTGCATTGGGGTGACCGGCTGTCTACCGGTCCTAAATTGATTCAAAATGTTTACTTTTCACTCATTTTGACTTTTAAAAGACAGTATTTAAGGTGTATATATTTCCCACAAATCACGTGCGTCCTTTCACTAGGAATGTTAAAGATAAACTGCACTATCTCAGAGGCTGCACATCCTGTGAACATTCAGGATATTATCCTGCTCTTTGGAGGAGAGACTGGCTCAGTCCTCTCTCCATTGGTCCCCAAGTGACGTAAAAGTGAGAACTTTGGTTTTAGACATATTTCCTCAGAAAGGCTGAGGCTATAAAACCTATAGTTGAGCAAGTCTGGCCAGTAGCTACACCTTTAGGACTCAACAAAGAATAACCCGAGGTCCCCGCTGCCTCTAGCACCCCAAGCATTACGTTTGGGGAAACGAGGCCTTCAGGCAAGACAACCTTAACGTGACTTTGCCAGTTCGTAGGCCTGCAGGGCACTAGAGGATGGAGAAAGGTGAACCGAGCTACTCTCTGGCTCATTTTCCATTCGCGAATCCTCCGTACCTAAGAGACTTAGAAACCGCAGCCGCCATTTTGCAGGGTGGGCTGCGCAGGGTGTGGGCGCGGAGCCAGCGCGTCTGAGTCGGAGAGGACGTGGATGGGTTGGCGGGGGCGAGCGCGCTACGAGGAAGAAGCAAGCATGCGCAAAGGCGACGGCGGCGGAGGGGTGGGGCCAGAGTACGAGTGCGCTTGCTCAAAGGGAGCCCGTGAAGTACCTGGCAGAGGTGGGGGGCCGAGGTAGAAAGGAGAGGGGTTGAAGAGCGCTTGCGCTCTAGAGCGACTGTGTGGGAGGGGGGATTTGGAGCACGCGCGCTGAGGCGGGACTTGGAAAAATCTCGCGAGATCGCAGGAAACTATATATAATCTCGAGGAGCCCGCGTCCTTTCCCTGGCGTGATTCCGTCCTACGCGGAGGTTCTCTTGGGCCATTAGCTGTATATTTCCGTCCGCGTTCTCTCCCTCCTAAGTGCGTTGCATCACTCCATGGAAGATTCGATGGATATGGACATGAGCCCTCTGAGGCCCCAGAACTATCTTTTCGGTAACTGCATTGAGAGAATGTTAGAACGAGGCGGAGCAGGGCCTGGTGGTTGGGGGGGGGCGGGAATCCAACTGAGGCTTGGGTCGGTGGAGAAAGCTAAGTAGACTGGGGGAGGAGGGTGGAGCGGCCCGAGGCCTGGAGGCTGAGCGAATGGGAGGTGGGAGGCGCGAGCCGGCGGCCTGAAGCCTGGGGCGTGAGCGGCCCAAGGCCTAGAAGCCGAGGTGAAAACCCGGCTGGCTGAAGGGTCGCCTTTTTCTGGGGAAAGAGGTAGATCCCGGTGCATGCGGTTTCTTTTTAGGTGTGTAAGAGTGTAGGATTGTGATAGAAATCGCTGTCGCTACAGCTGGACCCTCGATGAGGTTATGAGGTTGCTGTCGGGAGGGAATAGAGGGAGTCTGGCGTTGTTCTCTCGACTACTAGTGTAGAGTTCGGGGACAGACTTTTGTGGGTGCCTCGGTTAGTTACAGGGGGAGGGGAAGCGCTGCTGGGCTTGTAGAGGCCGCTGGCCCTGGGAGCACGTGGTTGCCACGTGGTTGGGGGAGGGCGGGCGTGTGGGCTCAGTGTACATCCGGGCCTCGCTGGTGTCTTGTCACCTCCGAGCTTGGGGTCCCTTGGCTTGGTTGAGAACTGTTGGATGAGAAATCTTGGGTGAGTTGGGTGGTAGTGCCAGTATTCTGAAGGTCTTTGTTCAGTGTTTTACAACATCTGCTATGGTGGTAGATCGCATGTTCAGAGCACTTTCTCTGTCTCATTGCTGTCGATAGAAATTGCTCCACGCTGCCCATGACAGTACCTGCGAGATAGCATAGCAGATGTTGTAGAAAGTGCAACTGGATGAGAAATCTTGGGTGAGTTGGGTGGTAGTGCCAGTATTCTGAAGGTCTTTGTTCAGTGTTTTACAACATCTGCTATGGTGGTAGATCGCATGTTCAGAGCACTTTCTCTGTCTCATTGCTGTCGATAGAAATTGCTCCACGCTGCCCATGACAGTACCTGCGAGATAGCATAGCAGATGTTGTAGAAAGTGCAACAAGATCTGAACCAAGACCCTTGAGTCCAAAAAGCCCTTTAAGTACAAGTGAAGTTTTTTATTTTGGGAGAAGAAAATGGAGGCTACTATCTTGAGTGCGGCCGGGAGCGCAGGGTTTAACGAGAAAAATACTGCAGGTCGAGTTGAAGACTTGGGACTGTAAACTTTGAAGGACCAGGGCTTTCCTACTATCACTTTCCTCCAAGGTGCCTCCACTTCACACTTAAACTATCCTGCATACAGTTTTTAGGAGAGTCCTACATTGGTTTTCTGTCTCAGTAAATTTGATTGTGGAACCCTGTTATTTACGCTTGATGTGGACGTGCTGCCCATGCCCAGGTTTCGTATTGTTGACTGGCCACGCCGAGATTTGTTAATTGAACAATAAGCATTTGAGTACGGTATTTATGTACCAGTAACTATTAGGTGCTTTTAAAGGGGACCCTCTCAAGTTCAGTTTTAGTCCTTTGGAATTTTTTCATTCACGGAATGGAAGTAGATCGGTGCGCCCTACGTTAAGCTTGTTTATAACCATTTTCAGTAGTTAAAATATCTGAACAATTGTTAGATTGTGTTAACCTCTATTGGAAGCTCTTGCATTAGGTGCCACTAAAGCAATGAGCATGTTTCCAACTGTAGAATGGTACTAGTTACCTGTCTCATTGTAGTTAAGAATGAAATAGTGTAACATAACAAGAAAATGGAATTTACAGTTTTTTTTTTAATGGGTGTTATCCTATGTACTCATGTAAGAATCTAGTTACATGATTGTGCATTGCCCTCAGGTAGCCAGAATATTGAAAAACAAGTTCTCCAGGTAACCTTTACCTCTTCAGTTACTAGCTCTTAAGCCTTGGATTTTTGTTTTGTTTTGTTTTACAATTTGCTTTTTCTTTACAGGTTGTGAACTGAAGGCCGACAAAGATTATCACTTTAAGGTGGATAATGATGAAAATGAGCACCAGTTGTCATTGAGAACGGTACTTAAGCTTTCAAAATAAACTACTTAATATTTGATCTTCAGCCTTTTTAGTTCATACTCATGTGGCTTAATGCTTTTTTTTTTCCCTTGGCTGCTTGTGTGTGTTTGAACTGGCATTGACTTAAGTCATACCTCATCTCTACACCTATCATATAGATGTTGGCTTTTGTTCACAGGTCAGTTTAGGGGCTGGTGCAAAGGATGAATTGCACATTGTGGAAGCAGAAGCAATGAATTACGAAGGCAGCCCCATTAAAGTAACACTAGCAACTTTGAAAATGTCTGTACAGCCAACGGTAAGGACAAGTGAACTTTGAATTATTTGAGAGTTTAGATCTTTGTATCATTTAGGTTACATCAAAATAAGTATTTTGTTTGTCCCAGCAGTCACTGCTGTCTTGTCACTGTGGGATTGAATCCTTAACTCTTAAATACTGTATGTTTCTGATGATTCTGCACCAGTGGGAAAAACGGGTTTATTTGGTTTGATTGTATCAGGTTTGTCTATAATGTTTGTTGCACATTTTCTTTACAGTGTAATCTCTTCCTTACAGGTTTCCCTTGGGGGCTTTGAAATTACACCACCTGTTGTCTTAAGGTTGAAGTGTGGTTCAGGGCCTGTGCATATTAGTGGACAGCACTTAGTAGGTATGTTATTTATATGTGCTATATTGAGCTGTTTTTTCTCTACTGAAATTGTTTCCCAATTTGGAGTTGGAAAACATGGCTTGGTTCTAGTATTTCTCTAAAATAGGTTCAGTTGATATAATCTAGTAGTTGTATCTATAAAGGCTTGGTTTTACTAATAAAGTTTAACAATGAGAATTAGTTACATTGGCTTTCAACAAACTTAATCTTCTGACTTTTTATTAATAGAACTTTTTTAGTGATGCTATATATTCTGATTTATTTTTTGCCTGTTGGAGTTTCATAGAGTCTTAATTTATTTTAGCTGTGGAGGAAGATGCAGAATCAGATGATGAAGAGGAAGAGGATGTAAAACTCTTAAGTATATCTGGAAAGCGATCTGCCCCTGGAAGTGGTAGCAAGGTTCCACAGGTAGAACTGATTTTATTGCAGAGTGTATTGTATCTTTCAGTTCAGTTTGGCTACAAGGATTGGATCTTATTCATGACTCTGCATTTTTCTTTAAGAAAAAAGTAAAACTAGCTGCTGATGAAGATGATGATGATGACGATGATGAAGATGATGATGATGAAGAGTAAGTACTATACTACTCTTGGTTTTTTGAGACAGGGTCTTAACTGTGAGAGACTGACGTGGAACTCACTATGTAGCCCAGGCTGGCCTTGAACTCACAGCGATCCTCCTGCCTCAGCCTCCCAAGGTGCCACCACACCTGGTTTTGTTTGTTTGTTTTTGGTACTGGGGATGGAAAGCTCGTCATTGTGCTTGCCTTGTAGGTGGCAGCACCACCATAGTCCTAAGAAACTTGACATGCTTTTATGTAGATGGAAGAATTTTTGAAAAGTCATTCAGTTTGTGTCCTCTAAAGGGTAACTTGCTTGTGTTTATTTTGGGTTAAATGAGTGGAACTAAAAGTATGCTGGGAATACCAGTTGTGAATATGCTTTTGTATAAGCTGACTCTTCAGAGGGGTTGGAAATTTACTTGAATACTTTTGTCCTTAAAATTTATTGGCTGCTTAGTTACATTTGTTTTGTAGGATAACTAAAAATTTTGGCCTACTGTTCTTTGACTCCTTTTTTGACAAAGTGAGATTCTAAAAGAATGTTAAATTTGCTGATTTAAAAAACATGGTTTGAATCAAGTTAGTATGTTCATTGCATTAGATCAAGGTGTAGTAATAAATTGTTCCAGAATGGAATAAATTTTTATGGGTCTTACAACATTATCAGTAACTCCTACTACTTTTAATTCTCAGCTTTATCCCTAATAATTTACAATTTTTTATTCTCAGTTTCACCTGAGTTGTCTGAGTTAGGTGTAATATAGGGGGAAATGTAAATGAGATCATTTTAAGGTGCACGCCAAGTTTTGAAAACAGGCACCTTAGGATTCCTTAGTTTGTGTAAGAACATGTTCCTACAATATATTTACTTGGTAGGCAATTTATGATTATACTGATATGGCCTTCTTAAATGTCTTTTAAAAAAATATAAGGTATATCCTAATAGATGAAGTTGTTTGCCCATAGTGATTTTATAGAAACCATTGTCCTCTTGTTTCTAATATAGGGGCAGCCCCTATAGGGACTGGGTTTTAAGGCCAAACTTGTACATTGACAGTGCAGTTTAAAATGTGTAAGATTTATATGTGGTTTAATGCATTATGATACTAATGCAGGGATTTCTTTGAGTATTGGGAAGATGGGGATTTTACTACATAAGTTGTGGTTTTTGGATTTTTAGACTTGTTTGAAAAGGAATTTTTTCTAATAGGCAAACTTCTGGACTCTTCCTCCAGTAATTTTTATTTCCTCTTATTTACCTGTTAAGATGTATAATTCGTTGGTTTTAATTTTTTTCGTTGGTTTTCGTATGTTCACTTTTGTAGTTATTAACACAAATTTTGAACATTTCTTCACCTCAGAAATACTGTTCAGCCATTAATGAACTTTGTCTATAGATATGCCTATCTTAGAGACTTGACATAAAGGGAAACATAGTATGGTTTTTGCTGCCTCCAGTCTGAGGATTTGTGGACATGTTGTCTTTGTGAGCACGTAACTGGAGTAGAATTGCTATGGTAACTCTGGGTTCCACTTAATAATTTGCCAAGCATCTCGGAAAGTGGCTGAACTATTTCATTGTATACTTGGACCAGCAGTAAATGGGGGTTCTGATTTGTCCATATGCGTAATGTTTGCCATTATTTTTGTGTGACAGCATTCCTATGGGTATGAAGTACTACCTGATCGTGGGTATGATTTTCTGTTTGCCTGATGATGCCTAATTGGTGTGTGCTGTAGTGGGGGATTGAACTCTGGATCTCCTGTGTGCTACTGCGCTGTTTGCTCAGCTCCCTCATGACTAAAGATGTTCAGCTTTTTATAGATTTATCAGATATTTGTGTGTCTTCAAAGCAAAGCTTGTCACATCCTCTGCCCATTTAAAGTTTGGGTACTCATGCTTGTGAGTTGTAAGTAATAGGTGTTTTTTTTTTTTTTTTTTTTTTGGTACAGGGATTGAACTCAGCTCCTAGTGCTTGCGAGGCAGGCCACCGAACCGCTGAGCTAAATCCCCAGCTCAGTAGTAGGTGTCTTATCGAATATTTGATTAAGGAGTATTTTGTTCCATTCTGTGTGTTGTCTGTACCTTTTGATGGTGGCTATCACACAAAGTTAATTTTCATGAAATCCACTGTGGTTTGTGTACATGTGGTGTCAAACTAAGAAGACATGGTGTCAAGTCCACTAATTTGCCAAAGTAACGTTTTCCAGGCCTTGGCAATCCCAATTATGCTTTTTGAGTTGTTACTTTAGATGCTTTACAAATAGAATCATAGTTTTCATCCTATAGTTGACTGGTATGTTTTACATCGTAATATGGAAGTTCGTTCATGTTGCAACAGTAGGATTTAAGGTTGAAAAGATTGTGTTATGTGTTACTTGCACTTTTTAACTATTGAGTTATTTGGGCTTTCACCTCATGAATATTGTGAACAGTGTTGCTGTGAAAATGAGTGGTCAGATCTCTCATATCCTGCCTTTATTTACGTCGTTGGTTAAGTTTCATAATTTGGAAATTTATTTTTTGGTCCCGGGGATTGACCTTGTGCTTGTGAAGCAGGCAGCGGAACCACTGAGCTAAATCCCTGGCTTTGGAAATTTCTTAATATCTTGGTTCATTTCATTTCCAGTGATGATGACGATGATTTTGATGATGAGGAAACTGAAGAGAAAGCTCCAGTGAAGAAAGTGAGTAAAAATACTAGTAAGGTTATGAAAAACATTAAATACAGAAGTGATGGAAGTTTGTTTTTTAAGCTTTTCACTTGGTTTGAAGCTAATGAAAACCTGCTTGAGGATGTCATACTGAGAACTGGTTCTGAGTTTGGACTTTACTGAGAACATTTAGTTTTTGGAATGAATTTTTTTTTGCCATGATTTGGGGAAACATTTGAATTGGAGAGCACTGATATCTAATTGCAGTTGATTTCTAATTGCAGTCGATAAGAGATACTCCAGCCAAAAATGCACAAAAATCAAACCAGAATGGAAAAGACTCAAAACCTTCAACACCAAGATCAAAAGTAAGTGTCTGCATACATATTAAAAATGGGACTTCATTGACATTGGGAGAAAAAAAGGAAATTCTACTGTCGAAGAATTGAGACCACGAAATTTGAAAGGCATTTGAAAGCTCTAATAATGGATATCTTAGAAGTTTAAAATGTGCTTGTTGATAAAATGTGGGTATGCATCGATTGGATATAATGCTGATGTTCTAGTAGGAAAAGAAGCAGAATTTTCTATAATAAAAATAGTTGTTTGCACTGAGGAAACGAGTATTTGGGTGGAGAAGAGATTCTCGACCTTGGCTATATACTGGTGTGGAGCTTAAGAGAACCTCTCAGTACTTACATAATTTACCTGTGGTGGAGATTTATCATAGGCTCTTAATGGATGCTGTGCTCAAGCTGCATTGCTTTATTCTAGGGGTCCTTTATATTTGAGCTGATTACAAGTAATTTTTAAAAATGATTTTAAAAATAACTGATGTGAATGGAGGACTTATTTATAATACCGCTGGTCATATACTTTTATAAGGGAGGATTGTAAGAGGTAATTCGATATAATCAAGGTAAGATAAATTTTAATAGTTTTTTTTACAACCTTTTGAAGTCGGAATTTTTTCTGCAGGGTCAAGAATCCTTCAAAAAACAGGAAAAGACTCCTAAAACACCTAAAGGACCTAGTTCTGTAGAAGATATTAAAGCAAAAATGCAAGCAAGTATAGAGAAGGTAAGGAAGGTTATCTTCAAGAATGTAGCTCTCTTCCATCTCCACTAAATTCCACCTTTATGTGGATTTGTATAAACTGTTACTTTACATTTTTAAAATTATCCTTTGTGAACTTTTTCAGAGATGGCTTATGAAAATGTAACTAGTACCTCTTAACTGCAAAAACAGGCCTATTTATCTTATTTTTTGCATGTGTAATTAGGCCTTCCACTAAAAAGCATATTTGTACGTTATTGGTAAAATATATTGATACATATTGGTCTTTAAAAATTAAAATGACATTGGTGAAAAAATTTTCTGGTTAGGCTTCTTCAGAACCAGCAGAGGGCGTATGAGTCTTCAATAAAATTGCAAGCAGTTGGAAAACTAGATTTCATCTTCAGCTGCTTGACGTTACAGTTGAAAAAATACTCGTGATTGATTCAGCATTTTCCAGCAAATTGAATCATTTCTGTTTGCCTTTACATCAAGGCATCCCCAGTCAATACATGCAATTAAGTTTGCATCTAGTCTCCTTTTTAAAGTAGTGGAAACATGTAAGAAGGGGATTAGATGTCTTTTGCTACTTAGACTGCTATTTAGACTCCTTAAACTCTGGACTTAATGTAGAGAGGAAAGAATTTACTTAAATGTCTTGGACTCACATTTGAGAGAATCTTGTGTTGCTATGAATGTATCTAGAACCCTAAGTTTTAATGAGAAATGTAAAGTTGAGGAAAATATGCCAGTTCCTTCCCCCATGTTTTTCCTGTATCGATTCCACGAAATTTTCTTTGTGCAGTAACGAGTGGATTGAGAATAAACATTGTAGTAACAGAATGTATTTCTTTTGCTTTAGTCACACTGTGAACTTTTTAGCCTTCCAGGTGTCACTGATTGATTTTTATCCCTTGCATACAGTGCTAAAATGATGCCCCCCCATTTTAATATAGTCCTATTTCCTTGATTTAATTGCAGGCGCATTGAACAGTCCTGGGCACTACTGATAAATTTAAGCCCAAAGATGGGGAGAAAGGAAAAGGAGAGACAAATAATAGTCCATACTGAGTATCATCAACAATCCAGACTGAAGTCTTCTATTTTAATCTCAATCCCCTTTCCTGATTTGCCACTCAGACCCTCTTCCAAGCTGGAAGCAATCTTTTTCCTAAAGCATCTGTTTTTCCTTGACTTTTTTGACTGCTGTGATTCAGTGAACCTTACATTATGCTTTCTGTTATGCATATGCCTCATCTCTTGTTTTAATTATCTTTGTATTTCTTAGCTGCTCAATAAATATTTGAATGAATCAAATGAGGATGTATGTGACAATTTTAGAATGAAAAGTATTGGAGTGGTTTATTAGGTGATGGGGCAGTTAATTATGCCATAGCTCTTTCTGATACAGTTCCTTTGCATTTGGAAAACTTAATCCAAGTGCAAAAGAGGATACAGGGAATACATAAAATTTTGTTAGAACAGGACACAAGTGAAAAATACACAAGATAATTCCAAAAATGATGAATGTGCACTTTATAGTGTTTGCGATATATCATAATTTCTTCTAATGACAAAATCTATGGCATTGCTGACGCTGTTAGTTTTCCCCCTAGTTTGATAATTGAAGGACATGAAGATTAGTCGAATTGTCACTATTAATCTTTCCCATTAACCTTCATATGACCTCTGGGTTGATTCTGAGGTTAGTGTCGTGCTGAGGGTCTTGGTAAAAATGTTTTTTAAAGTTTTGGTCACTTGTGAAATGGTTCTCAAAAGCAGGGCGTGTTTGTGTATTTGGTTTTGGATTATAGAGGGTTGTGATAAAACTGACAGATAATAACGACAGGTAGTTGGGTTGCTGTATTTGCTTGCCTGTAGAATCTCAATTATAGCTTTTGTCAAAATTTCTCCAGTAGCTGTTGGGATGATTTCAACCTTAAGCAAACTTTGGGGCAACTTGAAAAATCATGGTCCTGACATGCTGCCCAAGTATTTCCAGGCCTAAAAATGACATTGGTGAAGGGGTAAGGTACATCAAATAGTGTAGATCTTTGAGGATTTGGCATTAAAACAGTTCTATAGTTATCTTCAATGTGTTTTTCTCAATAGGGTGGTTCTCTTCCCAAAGTGGAAGCCAAGTTCGTCAATTATGTGAAGAATTGCTTCCGGATGACTGACCAGGAGGTAACTATTCTGGGGAATTCAGATTTCTTCTCTCTCAGTATTGGCTCCTTTTTTAAAAAAAAGCTTCCTAACCACAGACAATGCTTTGAAATACATGGTTACCCTTTTAAGAATTTAGTTGGCAGAGACTGAGGAGGTGACTTTTTTAGTACACTTTTCCCCCAGTTTTTATGTAGGCAATCACTTGGTTAATGGAACTCAATTTTACTTTTGCTTCTGTGTTGGCAAGGCTAATGGAGAGTGGTGGTTTTCCTTCCTGCTCCATTTAGCTGCTCAGCAGTACTGTATGTTGTTATGTGTGAAACAAGAATTTAAAGGGTAAAACCAAAAAGCATATTATGCATTCTATACATTAGCTTTGGTTCAATGCTAAAATTGTAATTTCTGAAAAAGATACTTTGTCAACAGAAGAAAATTGAAGTTTATTTTTGTGTTTGGTATAGAACCCAGGATCCACTCAGGCCTTGCAAGCATTCTCTGTACCTTCATTTCCTATATGCACTTACTTTTATTCTTCAGTTGTTGAGGAAGGTGAAGGTATAGAAGCAGTTAAATAGGGTTGCTAGGTGTCAAGTACGTACAGCACAGATCTCTGTTAAATGGGTTTGCCTGGATTCTTCATCTTGTATATTTAGCTTTATTCAGTAAGTTTGAAAACTAGTGGTTTTGCTTCCATTGTAGTTATCACATCATCCTTGAGCAAAATAGAGTTAGGATATGAGGTTATCAAATTTATTCCTGTTTGGACTGTTTTTTGAATCCCAAAATACAAGTAAAGATTTTGTGAATTTCCTGAGTTTATCAAGTATGAATGTTCTTTTGAAACTGCATTATACAGTTGTTCTAAGTCAGACACAAATCTGCATATACTAAGTTATGCCTAGTTTATGTAACTTCTTAAACTAGTTCCTCAGAAAGTGAAGATGAAAATTTATTAAAAAATGGGAAGATACACAGCTGAGTTTGTATGGGCTTTCTAAACACTATACTATCAGTCTGCAGTGAAAATGACTGGATGTACCAGAAGTAATATTTTATTCTAAAACTGAGGGTGTTTTTGTTTTTTGTAGTAGTTGGACTTGAACCCAGGCTCTTTGCACTGAGCTACATTGTGGTTTGTTTTTAATTTAGATGGGGTCTTGCTGGATTGCTGAGGTTGAGCTGAAAACTTGTTATTCTTCTGTCTCAGCCTCCCACATTGCATTGTAGTAATATATTGCCACACCTGGCTCTGGAAGAAAGCATATTTTTAAGAACCAGAATGAATTTTCTGCAGTAGTGAAGTGGTGGATGTTAATAGCTTGATTTTACTATGATGGGTTGGGTATTCATCTGAAATGGTTGGAATCAGCAGTGCTTTAAGGTTCTAAGGGGGGTTGGAGGTAGAATATTTATATAGATTACAGTTTGAGTAGCCCTAATCCCAAAACTCAGCATCTGAAAACTGCTTAAACCTCATGTTGCTACTCAAGAGTTGATTTTCAGATTAGGGACACTGTATGACAGTAAAGCTGTTTGTATGGCAGTAAAGCTTTATCATTTTTACATTTGGTGATGTATATGATAGTGTACCCTTTGTGCAATATTCTCATGAGAAGCAATTGCTTATGAGGCTTTGGTTTGTAGAATTTCTTACAGAATGGATTTAAGACAAATTTTTTTGCAAAATCATGAAATATTGGGGAAAACATTGTACTGCCTGTGGGCTTTGTGGACAGTGAGTAGAAAGCAAAGCTGCTAGGCCTGTGATGGCAAACCTTTTATAGCATTCAGTGATAACAAACTGCCTACTGAAGGGTGTATGCCATAGGTTCACCACCACTGCTAGGCTGTCTTGACAGTACACTGAAATGCTGGTTAGGATCTGGTCCTGGGGACTTGGACTGTGCCTAGGATAGTGATGGTGAATCTTAGTTTGCAGTGATAGAAATAGCCCATTGTGGCATGTGTGCCATAGGTTTGCCACCACTGACCTACCTCATGCAAACTGTAGAAGACTTCGGGAGCACTGAAATTTGGACTTTTGACAAGAGTCAACAAAAGTTCTGGATGGCACTTAGTTAATTCATTACATAAATAAAGCTCTATTATTTGTATTTGACTTTGGCAACCCTAAAGTTGATTATCTGGGTTGGTGAGATTGAAGCAACATTGGTCTCTTTGCTTTGATTTCCTTAACAATCCCTAAGTTGTTCAGTTGTAGTACTATAATTTAAAAATAATCATGATGTGATTTACTGAAGTACTAGAGATTTAAATTAATGTCTGAGTGTGAATTACCTTGGAAGTTTTTTTTGGGGGGGGTTACTGGGGATCGAAGGGTCTTTGCACTTTTGAGACAGGCAGTGTAACCACTGAACTAAATCCCTGGCCCTGGAATTAGGTCTTAATTATCTAGAATGAACTTACTATTGTAGAATATAATATAGAAAACACTTGTAAGAGCCAGGATTTAATTTGATATCTATGAAATATTGTCTACTAATCAAGGTGTTTTTTTTTTTTGTCCC